TTTCTTCCCTCAGGCAATCCATCTCATGAACACTTAACAATAACTGTGGAACACACAACACTATTTATTCACTCATACACTTATTTATCTAACACACATACTTAGTCTACACCTCAAATTTGCACATAATATACCTGTACATACAACTGTCAATTTATATATTATTCCTTATTTACTTGTTCTATTTTTTTAGTGTAGTATAAGTAGGCACATTGAGACGCAGGGTATGAGACACTGCTGATCCAAGTTGAGCGTTTCTCTTTGGACAAATATTTGGGCATTACCAGTGCCAAAAAACACGCACTTCATTTCCACATTAATCATGGATTTTGGATGGGTTTACGTTTAGTTTACAGCGATAAAATGCTGTTTTGAAGGTATTTAGTGAGTAAGTCTGTAATGTGATTGGTTTATGAGGCACAGCCAGTGGCTGACTGTCATCTGGAGCACCGGGAGTTTCCCCGGTTGGCCGCTGTACAATGTGGGCTGGCCCATTGCGTAAATATAAAGAATGGATTATAGTAAATGTACGTAGCCTATCGGTCCATCGGCCGGCCCAGACGAATGGCCTGCGCAGCCCACTTGAGTCAAACATTCAGCGGCTCAAAAGGCTCGTCAATGTCAAAATGTTTTAGCCAATCAAATCGAAGAAGGTGGGATTTACTGTTCACACTTCACAGAAGCTGAGCTGCGTGGCATTTGAATGCGAGCTGAGGTAAGATGTAAACAGCTAAACATGATGAGACAATTCAGCAATATTTGCCAACTGTTTACAAAAATTTTTAAACGACAGACATTCATTTTCATTGATGCAAACTACTACTGGCCTTTTCGAATTTATCAGATTTTAATGCCATTTACATTATTTGCCACAGTGTGCACATTAATGTAGCCGTTTTCAGCAGACATGAGATAACAGTGAATGTTTGTATATCATTATATTTCTTCCGTAATTTTACGTGTCTAAGAAAATGTTTAAAAAAACTGTAAAAATAACCTATAATTATCGAACTTACTCTAGAACATTGTAAATCTGAAGACTTTCGCTTTCAAGTAGCGTGATTAGGAAAATTCTAAATAAGATTTTAATGTAAATGTTTTAATGGTTTTAATGGTAATTGTCATGAATCCGGTCTATAAACTCCGTTCTCTCACCACCAGAGGTCACCCGCTCTCCACATGGACTCTCACACTACACAGACTGTTACACATCACCCTGGACTACATTTCCCATGCGCCATTGCACTAATCACAAGCTCACCTGAACCCAATCACACACAGCTGCTACCAATAACACACAGTATATAAATCAGTCTCACACCACCATTCAACGCCGAATATTGTTTAGCGTTTATCACTTTTGATAGCTGGTAGCTACTTTACGGAGCCTGCCCTAGTTTTCATAATCTAGTCATAGTCTTGCCTTGCCTGTTTTTCTGGTTCCTGATTCTTGCCACGTATCTTGGCTTAACCCTTTGCTTGCTGTTTCGGACTGTGTTTGCTCCTCGCCTGGCCTTATGCTCACGTTTACGGATTACCCCTCTTGTCAAGCTCTCTGGATTACGTTTGCTGTCGTCTGACTCAAGCCCGTTTAGGATTGCTCTTCTGTCTTGCCTGTGCCATACCTGTTTGCTGTTGTTTGACCCTGCCTGTGTTTTTGACTATGTTTATTAATAAAAGCTTGCACATGGATCCGCAAGCCTCTCGTCTCGTCAGCCCCGTAACCGTAATGTTAGGCTAATTTTTTTTTTTTTCTGTGATGCGCAGCTATATGTTCAGCATCATTACTCCAGTCTTCAGTGTCACATTATCTTCAGAAATCATTCTAATATGCTGATTTGCTGCTTAATTATTTTAAAATATTATTTGTGCTTGGGTATTAATAATGGTTCCTATTATTATCAATATTGAAAACTGTTTTTGTTAATATTTTTGTGGAAACTGTGACTAACGTTTTCAGGATTATTTGTTGAATACAACTAAAAAGAACAGCATATATATATATATATATATATATAAACAATTTGTAATAAGTATATCTTTACTGTCACCTTGTTGAATAAAAGTATAGATTTTTTTTTTTACTTCAGACTGAATGGTGATATATCAGTTTTTTGTCACATTCAAATTGGTTGTCATAGTAACGACACTAATTTGTGGAGATTCAGCGCATTGTGATTTACACTAATATGAACGCATTATTTGCAAATTGACTGTTAGGGTAAACATTTTGCACAATTTATTATCTGTAATACCATTATAGCTACTGGATGGCAGCCTGTATAGCTCTATTTAACAATCCCCAGTTGCTAAGAAATTGTCATCGCACATAAATTAATTTTATTCCATTTGGATTTGGATACATGTTTAGATATTATCAGTGGCTACTTTTTGTCTTTATCTGTTTTTTGTTCAATTGTTGTCAGTTATTGTATTGTTTCAGTCAAATATAAAACCCTTTGTTACCTCAAACTACATATAAAAGCCTCATCAGTGGCATAAAAGTAATCGGAATGCAGCTACTTGTTCTTTTGCTACTCATTGATGCGTGAACTTCCCCTTTCAATAACGCGATATTCTTCCCTCTATGTGTAAGACGCTGCTCCCATTAAGCGCTGTTGGAAGCGAATTAATTGATTCAGCATTTCGCATTTCGACAAGTTCGACAAAGCGGTTTAATAAAGGATGTATTGATCTTGTGAAATTTTGCTAATTTTACTACACCAATATTTTTTAATTGGCTGTTAAAGTTTGTTGGGAATATTATACGACACACTGATCCTTTAACAATGCATTGGCACAAAAACGCACACATTTTGGACCGATTTCACATGATTTCTCGACTGCCACAAATACTGAATACTAAACAAAATACTGCACTTTTTATTGTACCAATATTTAAATTGGCCTTTGAACTTGGCTTTATTGCATGTCAAAAAAAAAGCCTTCCCTTGCCAAAGCACTGACAGAACACAAAAACAAAAACTGGATCCTATTGCAAGAAACAAAACGAATCCACGTCCAGGCACTCACATAGCAGGCAAAATATAAAAAGCCTTTATTGTGCAACATGTTAAAAGACACCAACGCATATCAGCCCAAACAGGCCTTCTCAGGGTGTTAGACAATAGAGAATGAGAACTAGTTAAATAGATACACCTGTGACTACATTTTCAAAATCTAACCACTAGATGCCTCTTAGGAGACAAAATACAAATTCACATTTCGAAGTTTGCAGAGGATTTCGACGAGTGAGTTGCTGATATTATACACATGGGTTTGTATCACTGAGGACTTGAACGAGCCTGATGCACAATACAGGTTTCTTTAATAACAAACAAAACATGCTGGAAATATTCTTATGACTAGTTTTATTAAATATGTCTATATTTATATTAAGACATGGACAAAAAAAAACCTGAACCTTATTTTGGTTTATTGTGCATGCAGATCATATTTTAGGTTGTTGAGCTAAATCAAATGATTTTATAAGTCATGTTTAGACTTTTTCCTCTCCAAATACATTAGACATGTAGAAAATAATTTGTTTGTGCATAAATGTGTGCTGTAGGTTTGAAACGTATCCAAGATGTAGGCTACTCAGTATTGGTCAGTCTTATGCAGAGCCTGGCATGATTGTGACAGCACTGATCTATATAAATGATCCATTACAAATAATTCTCCATTATTTGTTTTCATGATAAATGTCATTTATTTGTTTGAAAAAACATTGTTTTAACTACATGTTTTATTGTTACAAAAGCATATATCTTTTAAATGACACTATCTCGTTATTAAGAAAAAAAAAAGTATTGTGTAAAGCAGTACACAAATAAATGTGAGTTGAAATTATGAATCATTTCTCGGGCTGAATATCAAGCGTGGGGCATCTGTTGAGGAGTGTAAGTGCAGGGAGGGCTCTGTGTTTTCAGCTGTGACTCTGCACACGTCAACACAGACACTGATTGAATTATTACTCGTGAAAATCACATCATTGTTCTTCAAGCTTTGCGTAGATGTGTTTATGTGAGTCTACACTCATAAAATGTCAGAGATGTGTTTTTACTGGAAACAAATCATACTACAGTACTTTGTGTAAGAATTTGCAAATATATTATAGGTTCATAGATGTTTTTATTGAGCCTTTTGCTTTTGCATACAAATCATCAGGGAAAAATACATTTAAAGCTGGTGTTAATTTGAGAAACATGTATGAGAGACTTTATGTTAGAAAGTTTGTTGGTTTTGTAAGTAATGCAAGCACAATCAACTTTGCAAAGTCATACTTTAGTATTAATTGTAATAAGCACTTTAAACCATCTACTGTCTACAGTTTCTGCAACAATAATCCCAGTTGCCTTCTCTATCTGTGAAGCACCACAGGTAATCTTTATTATGGTAGTCACAGAGGTGATCAGGCCTGCAGGTTTTGTGATTAACAGATGAATAGCAATCATTAGAAGTACAGCACATAATTGCCTTCATCATCCGTGTAGCACCATGGCTTGTATTTACAACATTTGGCACAGGCATGATTGCTGCGGCACTACTTTCCATTTTTAGCTTTACTGCGCCTCAGTGCAGTAATCCCAGTCATCTTTAATGTAACCAAGGCTAGTCTTACACCAGTAGTAGTCATAGCCATATGTGGCACAGGGGTGATCATACAAGCACATCTGTCCATTATCAGTGAGGCTGATGCCTGGGCTTATATTAATTAATTTCTGAAACGCGCCATGAACTTCAACTAATTTATTATTGTAACCAAAACAATCATCAACAAAAATCTCAATTGACTGCTGGGTCCATGAGAGCTCACTGTAGAGCCCGCTGAGCTGATCATTCAGGTCTGAGACACTCATCAGGGTTATGCCAGGCTCTTCTGGGTGGTTTCTTCCAATGTAGCCAAAGGAAAATGACTTTCTGTCATCAGTGTCGTGTTCATAACAGACGGCCGTCCAGATGTGAGAGGGCACTGACACCCTAAAACGATCTCCAGGGGTTCCCCTCTGTGGTATCCGTACATTGGGATCAGGTACTGTACCTGTGACAATGTAGGCTGTTGAAAAAGCACGATCCCTGTCAAGCATGCCTTTTAAGAATCTCCTCAGCGTGCTCTCCCAACTCTTCCAGTGGACACGGTTGAAACGCTCTTTCATAGGTGCAGCGTTGGTCAGTGTGTATGTTGCTGTACGGCCGTCTCCGCATTGGAAGCTGTTGGGGTTCAGGTGTCCACGATCATATCCGGTGCCACTGTAGTCACTGCTGATGGCTTGATTTCTTTTATAAAGGTATTTATTATTTTGATTCTCACGGACCATATGATCAATTGGTGATCGAGGTTGGGAAATCTGCAGAAGAAATATTATGTTATATGGTCATTTGATGTTTTATCGCTTGTAAGAAAAGACTTTTGAGGGGTGTTTTTTCCTATTTAGTTTCATAGGGTGTATTTTTCATACTGTTTGCAATGCAGACTGTCCTCCAACAAAAAACGACCCTATAGGTCGTTTGTGCAAGCACCTTATTACAACCTATATTTGCGTTTTAAAGTTTAGTGCCCTCTAGTGGGCATAAAAATAATGACAGTGTCTTGTTGCGTCTGTCGTCATGAAATGACGTATGGCTGTCATTACCAATCAAAATGCGTGTTTATTTAAATGCAATTTGTGGACTTTTACATGGTCCAACCCGATCTCACGGCAATCTGTACATATTTTACTAGGTGGCTAATTCATACGAATGACCACACCTAACCCCGCCCCTAAACCTACCCTCACAGAAATCATGCAAAATCGTGATTTACAGTGCATATACATTTTATGAGCACGTGCGTTCTTTGGGATCGAACCCATGATCACATGATTGCATATTGTCGTGTAACGCGATGCTCTACCAACTGAGCTACCAACTTTCAGGACATGAAAGTGTCCTGTTGCCGATAGGGGCGCAATTGTAGAATACGCTCTGATGGGTCGTATTTCAGGGATTTGGACAAACGACCTATGCGGGTGTATTGGTTGGAGGACATGTTGCTGCAATGACAAAACAAAAAGTAATTGAATTACAAAATAAATGTAACTATAATCAGTTACAGTTAGTAAGAAAAAATGTGTAATTTAATTACAATTACTTATGAAAATGTTAACGATTACAAAGGAGGTTACATCTGAATATTTACATACACATACAGATTTAATTGATTTCTTTCCCAAATTGCACTGCATGAGCATTTTACAGTTTCTTTTGAGAAAACCATCATATCATATACAAACAGACACCAATGTTTCAAAAAGATACAAATTGTTTTAGGACACATGCGTATTTGATAACTTTTATTTCCTATTTGTTTGATGTGTATGCTTTATTTATTTAATTAACTGTTTTTTTTCCCCAAGGCATTGTTAGATGCCAGTGTTTCCTGACATAGGCATGCAAAGATTTGATTTCATAAACAGTATCATAGCTGTTAAACTATATCTTATGATTTTAAATCTGTTTTTAACCTCAGAATGATCTCAAAGTAAAAGGCAGTACTAAAGTCTGATTTTGTGGTGGCTGTGTTTCAAAATGATTGTAATCTTAATTCAAATGCTGAAGGATTCTGAGAGTCTGACAGTAATCGGTGTTGAATACTAGTAAGGTTAAACCTGTCTGGTGTAAATGTCTGAAAATTATTAACAGTTGAAAACATTCATTAGAAATTTAGAAAAGTAATCAAAAGTAATCAGTTACATTAATAAAGTAATTGAAATAGTTACACTACATTTTAAATAGGGTAACTTGTAATCTGTAACCTATTACATTCCCAAAGCAATCTTCCCAACTCTGATAGTAAGTCACCTGTGGCTCGAGGTGCCAGATGTTTGATCCTCCAGTGTCGATTGAGCATCTAGGGTCCAATGTGTAGGCGCTGTAGAGAGGGATCTTGTGATGAACCGAGTACAGAGTAGCATAATATAAGCTCGAGTACCAATCAGTGTAATCATATTCTTCATTTTGCAGCTTCTGGCAGATTTTCATGGCATCTGGATCCATTCCGCTTGGTTCTGTGTGTCTGTAGAAATGCCATACACACTCATCAAAGCTATCGACCACTAATGCCTGAGCACTGAATGCTCTCAGCACGACACAGGTGATCAGACCCAGAACAAACATGGTGTGAAGCTGCTCCTGTGTTATAGAGCAGAGACAGCAGAAGCTCCGCTGCTTTAAACACAGTCACTGTCAGTGATGCTGTTGTGGGAGTGACTGAAATTAACTAATGAGGAGAAATGAGGAATGTGATGGGACCTTTCTTCATCATGGTTACGGGACTAATTTTAGAGCTGCCACATGTACAGAAACATGGATTAAAAACAAAACAAATAGAGGAATATACTAATGTTGCTCAATAATGCAGTGTTTGCAGTTTCCACTTCAGTTTTCTGATACATGTTGGTTCACTTCTGCATTTGGAGCAGGGTTTGTTTTTTGAAAGCATCTGTTTTTCCTCTCACTCAGGCTCTGTCTACATTAGTCTGGATGCATTTGAAAACGGCATTTTCATTTGAAAACGCTGTACATCCACATTAGCATTTTCAAGCATTTTCCAAAAGCTTCTCATCTGTAAAACGTTAAATTCGCCGAACTATGCATGTATAAAAGCTCACACATATTTGAGAATGGAGTCTGATTTCTGTAATGTTTCCACTCCAGGGCTTGCAGCTCCAGCTTCGCTCTCACTAGAGAGAGAAACATACTCTGAGGCCTTGTTCACTGAGACGGCATTTTTGTCAAGGAAAACAGAGCTTTTTAAAAATGTGAACATGCTTTGGGTTCATTTGTGACTGGTTTTGTTGGTAGAGAAGACATACACAAACAAACCAGTGGCATCTCTGGCTCTTTATTTCTGGTCTAACCCAACATGAGAGCGCACACAGTCATCTCTAATCATTTCATCTCAGCACAAAACACCAATAACATGTGCATGTCATAAAGCTCAGGAGGTTATGAAAGTGAATCAGAAAATCACCAAAGGCTGTGAATATTATCTGACTCAGCTCCAGGGGTGTCTCTAGGTCCTTTTTAGGGGGCTTTAGTCTCCTTCAAGCACTCATCTGCCATCATTTCTGCTCAGCCCCCCTAAAAATTATCTGACTCAGCTCCAGGGGTGTCTTTAGGCCCTTTTTAGGGGGCTTTAGTCTCCTTCAAGCACTCATCAGCCATCATTTCTGCTCAGCTCCTCCCCGGGTCAGCATTATTTCACATTTTTGAAAAATGATCAGCGTTTTCGCATTTTCAAACAGCTCTGTTATATCTTGGCATCATTGTTGACGATGTCCTATCTTTTGGCTCTCATATTACTCAACTGAAGAAAAAACTGAAAATTAAACTTGGGTTTTATTTTAGGAACAAGTTTTGTTTTTCATTTAATGCAAGAAAGAAATTAGTTTCTGCTACATTTTTATCTGACGTAGTGTATCAGATTGCACCATCATATCTTCTTTCTCCTTTAGATGCTGTTTATCATGGTGTTCTAAGATTTATATCAGATTGTAAACCCTCAACTCATCATTGTACCTTGTACAACAGCTTGGCCTTCTTTGTCTATTAGGAGAAAAATGCACTGGTATTTAATTATTTATAAAGCCATCTTGGGGATGTTGCCTTCATATCTTTGATGTCTGAGAAATATTTCCTTAGTTCGCAAAATTGTTATACTGTCTCTGTTCCTTTTGTTCGATCTGAACTAGGTAAGAAGGCTTTTATGTATGCAGCTCCGTCTGACTGGAGTCTTTTCTGGTTAAATAAAGGTAAAAAAAATAAATATATATATATATTCAGCGTGTTCTTCAGTCCGCAGCACTAGCATCAGATGCTAGGGACAATGTGTGCGCATTTATTGATAGATTGTTATGATATCTGCACCTGTGCAGGTCTTTGTCATGAATGCAGTTTATACATTAATGTGATGCGGGAGCATCCACTGTCAAGTTTTATCTGCGTTCAGCCCTTATTGTTTTCCTCCACTGAAAACAGACCGGGAGGACATAATTTTCCAAATTTAAATTTGAACTTAAAATGTATTATTGTGGATGTTGCATTAAATTTAAATATTGTCCAGAAATGATTAAAGACACAATCACACTGTAAAACAGATTTGTTGTTTAACAAATTATGTAGCCTAACATTTAAATTTAAAGATCATTTTAACTAAAAATCCGAGTTGATGCAAAGAAGGAGATTAGATTATTCAACATAAACTCAAAATAGTATATCTGATCAACATCTGTGAATCTGAGCTGATTTGACAAAAGAGTTGTGAAATGTTATGATAACAAATCATGAAAATATCTTTTACGGTGCAATGACAGACAGCACTCAGTCAATTAAACTGCTGTAATCAGAGTGAATTACAGAGACAGAGAAACAGCATGTGGAGTTATTGACCCAGCAGCTGATTATGGCATTTATAGTCTTAGTGTTACGGGGCAACTGAGACGAGAAACGTGCGGATCCATGTGTAAAGCTTTATTCTAAAACATAGTCAAAACAGGCAAGGGTCGGACAGTGGCAAACAGGTATATAGAGGGCAAGACTGAAGAGTAATCCGAAACACAGGCGATGGTCCAGGCGAGGAATAAACAGTATC